TTAATGTATGTGAAAATCCCAATTATCTTTCATGGTTCACATATAAGATTACTTCAAATATTTTGTTATTCCGTGATTTGAAAAGAAATCAAACAACTTGAATAACTTACTAGCGAAGAAGAAAATCTGGTAAACATGCTTCTTAACAGTTTACGCCCCTTCAACCAGATCTACTGTTATTTCAACTAAGGTAGGATTGTTTCCTAAGTTTACTAATATTCTAGTATTGATATTGTTACGATATGACGCAAAATGAAACAATATTGATTAGCTTATGATTTTGAAATCTTGACTACTTATTAGTTGGTAAGAAATAAAGTATAATCCACAGATATTGAGTGAGTATTTCATAAATAAAATAGAGATATAATTTCACATATAATCAGTCTCTAGACTAAATTCTCATGTTGACTTCTTCAATTATATCAGCAAATTACAAAATAAATAGATCTGTTATATTTGCATTCACCTAACTAAAAGTTATAATAGAAAGGTTGAATGTATGTACTGTCATGGAGGTCCACTACTTAGTAATGCTTTTTCCTTATTCTCTCAAAATTTTATTCATTTACTATTATTATTGTTATTATGACCATAAAAAGCAAAAAAATTAGTTATTTTATTATTATTATTATTATCTCGTTACTTTGCGTTTCCTGTAATACTTCATAAATATCGATTATTTTAGGAAGTTAGCTTCCATTGATTGGCTTTTGCTGTTGTAGGAATGGTTGCTATGGTGAAGTATTAACTGATGTCCTCACCTTTCAAAAAGATTCCTATTCAATTTATGATAAATTCTTCTATTAGTTTCATTTATTTCTTTGTTTATTTATTTATCCAATTACTGTATCAAAATAATATGATTAGACAAGACGCTTGAGTTAGTTGAAAAATTTTCTACATGGTTTTAAAGAAAACCAGTGGAGTGTGGATTTGTTATTTTATTATATTACCTAGGTTAAATTACATGTAGTTTAGGTTAGGATAGGACACACATTGAAGAAAGCACCTAACTTCGTCACAAGGCAAGCCCTCACATGGAATATTCAAGGCCAAAGGGTAAGAGGAAGATCAAAAAACACATTACGCCAAAAAGTGGAAACAGACATGAGAAGAATGAACGAAAATTAAATTGAACTGGAAAGAAAGGCCCAGGACAGAGTGGGTTGAAGAATGCTGGTCAGCAGCCTATGATCCATTGGGAGTAACAGGCGTAAGTAAGGTTAGAATCTGGCACCAAATGGTTAAGTACTCAACCCAGTAAACATTAACTTACTGTCTTAATCCCGTACTTATCTTTATTACCTACTGAATAGACTTGTTTGTAATGAGTAAAATTGTGTAAACAGGGTACACTATCAAAAACTTTATACAATACTATTGTAAAATAAGAGTTTTTTTAGCTTATGCCATGGTATTTAAATAGACTACATATGAAAATTAATGGTATTGTTATCCTCTGTTCTTCTGTCAAGTTGATAATCACTGTCACAGCTGTCTTAGATTTATGAATTAAAAATGAGCAAATAAATGAAATTTTTAATTTAATTCCCTGTAAATTACAGTAAAATTAATTAATAATAGTTCATGACAAGTGTGGAGAAGATTTGTAGCTCAGGTGGATGATTTTGATGAAAGTTCCACGACCAAATCATCCAGCTCAGAGAACAAAACTTCATCAAAATTAATGACAAGTGTCCGTGTCCTCTATTGCCCAAAAAAATAAAATAAAATTCGCATAGTTCGTAGATTAGATTGGTCATGAATAGACATTGAACTGAATACAGAAATGAACAAAATCGAAAATGTGTAGCATAAAATTTGATTTCATTGTTGTTTGACTTTATCTTATTCAGTGAGTGAATTGTAAGTTCTTAGTACAATCTAATATGTAGTCGTAGATCCACATTAATGAAAAGTTTTATTTTTGACAAAACGCCTGACTAATACAACCTCATTTCCAATTATATTTGAGCAAATCTTACCTAATAACTCCTAACATTAATCAGATAGAAAACGTATGATATAAGATTATCAATGTTTATATGATTCTATGGAATACACTTATATCAAATCTCAAAGTTTGGGATGTATGTAACTGAGAAAGTATTAATCCAATCAAGACCAACTAGTTTGTTCCGTTATGAGTTTAGAAAAGAAGAGGAACAATAAAAACTAATGAAATATATGTGTTTAAGGTGGTGGATAAGACTTTTTTTCCAAAATGTTATAGCATTGTTAATTCACATTCCCAACACCTTGGATTTAATTATCCTAATTAATTAAAATTAATTGTATCAGTTTACAATGAATTAAGTTTTAGGTATATCTATAACTGGAACACCTTATCAGTGAGAACTTACAGTTTCTCTAAAGATTGACAAGAACAAACACTTATGAATGTTATGATCACAATGAAAATGAAAAGCCATCATCAATATATTTCACATTTAATCAATACAAACTAATCTTCTTTATAAAATCCTTAAACAAAAATGGATGATTTCATTTCATAATAAAAATCCTATCATAATAATCAACATAAACAATCAAATCCGTTAAATTACATTTATAAAACTTCTTTAAAAAAAACCATGTATGTATGCACGAAAAACATCTAAACAAGTCTTCAATATTGTGAATGAATGAGAGAAAAACAAACAAAAGACAATCGACAAACAATATATGGATTCCTGTAAAACAAGTCAGTTACCAGCATAAGTAGTATATATATATATATATATATATATATATATATATATATATATATATATATATATATATATATATATATATATATATATAGGCCTAATATCAATCTAATTCTTTGAATAACATTGTCAATATTATTCACACACACAAACAAATTCACTTTATTGATTAATTAATTAAATAATCGATTAATTCAATCGATTATAATTTTATTACTATAAAATTTTAACCAAATCATTTACTTAGTAATTAGTAAATTCTTCTTTTTATTTCTAGAAAAAAATTAAATAAATAAATAAATAAATTTATTTATTTATTCATATTGTTGTGTTATTTATTAAATTTGTGTATAAACTAATAATACACATTAATCAATAAATGTTTGTTTATTTATTTTTCCTTCATTTAATATCATACAGAATTATTGACAATATGACAATAATTATATAAATTTATAGATTAAATTAATAAAAAGGAAATAATGATTAAATGAATAAAATTTAAAAGTAGAAATTCAATAGTAATTTAACATTGAATTATTTCATGGAGAATATGAATCAAGTACAAAATGAAATTTATTTTCATTATGAATTTATATAGAATTTAAGATTCAGTGAAACTTATGAAATATTGAACAATTGTTTCTTATCAGTATAATAATATTTCATAGTTGTTAACAATTAGAATAATAAGAATATTGTGAATTGTCTCGTTGTTAAAGGTCGGATCTACAACGTATCGGTGAGAGCAGTTTTGCTCTATGCTTGTGAAACCTGACCTCTCCGAGTTGAGGACGTCAGACGACTCTCTGTGTTTGATCATCGTTGTTTCCGAAGGATTGCTGACATCCAGTTGCAACATCATGCTAATAATGCAGAGGTTCGGTATTGTGTGTTTGGGCACAGAGATGATAATACAATTAATGTCGACATCTAGAAACACCGACTTCGGTGGCTTGGACATGTTCTACGAATGTCGTCCCAGCGAATTCCACGTCGTGCATTATTTACCGACTCTGGGACTGGTTGGAAGAAGCGGAGAGGTGGTCAGTGTATGACATAGTGTCATGGTATGAAAGAAAGCTGCAAAAGGTTGGCTTATGTTGGTCATTCACGATTCCCTAGTTGGGGTCCGAGAGATAGTGTAACACAGTGGTTAGAGACGTTATCAGATATGGCTCAGAATAGAAGCCAGTGGCGATCCTGTTGTAACCTCCTTTTACTTTCTTCATAAAAAGTGGTTTTAACTTCCTTAACTGGAAGAATTCTTCTGGTTGTAGCTATCCGTTTCCCCCATTATTATAATTATAATTATTGTTACTATTACACTACCATACACCAAGCTGTGGCCGTAATTGTCTTTTTTTCTTATACGCACCTTACCTTCTTTTCCTCTTCCCATTCTCATTGTTTTTTGTGGCGCATATATGTCTGGTGACTCCTTGTACCAATATTTTTATGTTCAAATAAATAATAATAAATAAATAACAATTAGAATCTGTTAAGAGGTTCTATATTAGTCTAGAACTATTGTCTAAAGTTGTCGGGTAGAGACAGGTATCTACCTCAGTACAATGGAAGATGGTCGCGCAATTCCTTGTATTGGTCGACTTTAGACATTAACACCATTGGATGCTGGCTCAGTGGTCTAATGGGTTAGGCGTTTGCGCGCGAGATTGAAGGCACTGGGTTCAAACCCTGTGAGCAGGATCGTGGATGCGCACTGCTGAAGAGTCCCACAATAGGACGAAATGGCTGTCCAGTAATTCCAGGTTTTCAATGATAGTTTAGCACCAATCGGTCGACCATCACAATCAAAAACCTAATAATCTCCACAACCCCTGTACTGATGAAGTTATCTAGTTATTAGTGATTCTTCAGTTGTGATAAAATGAATTTAATGAAAAGCGACTTCGTTTCAAACAACGAAGGCTTATTTAAATTCATTTGGTATTGTTTGTTTGATTCTTCCCACTGCAACTGATCAGTCTCCAATTAGCGTATGCACATCCTGTGCAAATTGGCTCGATATTGCCTTACGTCACAAACACTATAAGCTTGGATGAATAGTGGCTAGCAGTAGAATCCAGGACGTATGTTTCGTCCTATTTGAAACTTGTCAGCTAGATATACCTGAATCTCAGAGTTGATATTCACTTCGGGACTCAAACTCAGCACCGTTCACTTCAAACGCTATCGTATTATCCAATTAGCTACTGAGTTCTGATAACCACTTGCTTATGCAATGGAATGAAGCTTAAATTCATTTTTCACTATGTTTTTTTTCATGAAGCAAATTTAGCATAGATATTTAAATTCTCCTTAGAAATTGCGTTACATTAACAAAATGAGATAATTACCAGAAGTTGTTAAAGTAGTAATTTCTATCTTTGAGACAAAAGTTTTACAACTTATTTTAATTTTGACTATTTTAACTTTAGACGACCTATTCACTTTTTGTAAAATTATAATTTATTAAATAATTATGCTAATTAACAGTATTTAATTCATTTAATTACTACTGGAGTTGTTTTTCTGTAGTTAATGTAATCCGTTAACTGTATTAATTCCAACTGTGATCGTCTACAAATTTTAAGTATATTATAAAATATACGAATAGGTTTATGTCCCCTTCCCTCTGACATATAGAAATATCACCAGTGATTTAGATATTCCTACTACATAAAGTCATAATCTTTTTTGTTTAGATTGATTATGTATTAACATTGTGTATCCAAACCTAGATGATAAAATAATTTGTTCATCAATCCTTAACAGTCTGTTCAAAGTTAAAATACTTTCATTCATTTGAGTTGTCCTTAGTTCAGTTTCAACACAAATTATATGCAATATATTGATTACTTGATAAATAATCATACTGACGATTAGGGTGATTTCCTAGTTTCTAAGTGAGGCTGCTTTTTAAAACTATAACACTAAACACATCAATTAGGTGAAGAGAGAAACTATATCTCATGATATATAGATGTTGATTAACTTTAAGAACCATAGTTCAATTTTATTAACTATACTAGAACTAGTCATTATTGCAACTTACAGTAAGTCACTGATTTCGTAAAAAAAAAGCATTTGACCCTTCAATTTAACGTTACTTCGGATCATGATATTAATAATTCCGATCCATTAGATAATGTTCACCATAATGAACTCATTTAATACACTAATTCTGATGGTTGTTAGTGATCCTGATCAGAAGTTGAATATTAGATGAAAATTTGTGAATTAACAGATGCTTGGAACACTATCTGAGAAACAGCAATTGATCTTCTACGATGATTAAAGTTATATTCAAGTATTATAATTCTAGATAAACTATTCTATTCTTATCAAATGCTTTATTCTTGATATCATATGGATTAATAAACAAAGACGATGATCTTTCAAGGACTTTACCATCACCAATTTATTATTAGTCAGTCAACGTCTAACTTATCGAAAGTAATCAATAATAAAAGCTTGAATATCTTTATGGAGATTGACAGTGATCATTATATTTCTACCAATTAATATTTATGATAAAGATAGTTTACTAACAGGCAAGTACATTTTTATCATTACTGATTATTAAAGAAAATATTTTTAATATTGATTATGTGTTCTCTTATTTTTCACTGACTTTTTAATGTTTTTCAACGATTGATCTAAGTAAGTTGATAAAAAGATTTGTGCAAAAATTACATAAACGCTTCAATGTTGATTTAAATATGAGTTAACTTCCATATCAAGTATTCTTATTTGAGTTAAAGCTACCAATATAGTTTATAGGTGAATTCAACAATCCCCTAAAAGAGAGAAAAGTTACCTAATGCCATTTCTTTTTGTTGATATGCTTGATTAACAAGAAATGTATGCCATAATAATAATAATAACCACCTAATGATTCAATTATCCTTAAATGTTAGTTTTCTAAGATGAATGCAACGCATGATATACCGCAATATTGAAAAGGACCAAGTTTATATTTACACAGAACATTAGATGTGAAAAAGCACAGACATCTGAAGTGCTGCTATTATTGTTCTTTTATGACTGTAATCAGTGATTTGATTAGTTTGACGCGAATACTTATGGCCACCTTGGTTCAAACCTGTGAGTCTTCTCAAAGTAGCGTAGATAATCTTTACTGATGAGCAACAAACAAACAAGAAGACTGAGTTTTCGACCTTCTGTACTTTAATCTTCAACTTATAATACACAGTTTCTACATATACATAACTGAGATGATAGGTGATATATTTGATCACTATGAGTCCGTATAAATGTAGTGGGATCAATGTTAAAATTGAGTCAATTTTAGGGGAAGTAGTAATGAACTGATAAGAGTGTCATTTGATCACTGAAAAATCAATTCACAATCTACTTAAAGGTATTTCATAAGATTTACCTCGAGTACAAGATACTGTTCTCACTTGGATATTTTTTAATATTAAAATTGTTTACTACCCCGGTCAAGAGCACTTTATAGCATGCTACAATTATTTGTTAGAATAAACTCACCAGAAGTAAGATAATTGAAAGGTTTATTCAGATATTTGAGGTCATTAACTTACTATAATATAAAAGAAACAACGTTAAGAGAAAGCATTGTAAAACAAGATGGACAAAGATAAAATATTAGATCACTCTCCAACAGCCTTGTTATTCAATGATAATGGGTGTAACGGTAATTTAATGTTAAATACTCCTTTACCCTTTCTGATGACTCATTTATTAAGCTTATTTATGTATCAGAAGGGTTTTTTGTGGATATTGTAGTAATTTCAATAGTTGAAATCATGAGTCAATTGAAGCTAGACCACTATATATATACATGTATACTATTTTTGTTTAAGGTTAACAGTTAATATCTATGCATCTGTTAAAATCAAAGCGCTCCATTAAATATTGATTCGTTTGTTCTGTGGTTGATCTTTTAATTTACTTGGAAATTTCTAACCTTACATTGCCGTTCTAAACTTTTCGTCTTAAATAAATAAAGAAGGTTTGATAAGTCATTTACTTCAAGGTTAGTGTTTTAACCGAGTCGTTTTGTACGGGTGAAGTAACTGATTGTTTGTTAATCAACATGATGAATAAGGGATTGTTCAGGAAAGTTTAGAGTAACAAAATATGAGTCCACGGATTCCGAATTATTAAAAGTCACTTTAAATTGGTAATATACCTCTCATTTCCATTTCTTTTGATAGAAATTTGAATGATAGTCGTATATGAATGTTTTCATAGTTATCAAGAGAGGATAATTTCTTTTCACTGGTTAAATACAATTTCATCATTTACGTTACTAATATCCTATTCATGTGTAGTTGATTTCTAAAGTAATCTATTATTAAGCTCTCAAATGATCATCTGTTTATCATAAAACAAGTGAATATTTGTTAACTATATATTTGTTAATGTCAACTATTGATAGACTATTAAAACAATCTATTGATCAATAAAGAACAACCAGTATCATACTCTACAAACTTTTATGTTCAATGGTTTCTGTAAGGCAAGTTCATAATGTACTTAATGCTCCAAGTAATTCAACATTTTGTATGTAATTAACGATAAGTTTCAAAGAAGTTTAATATAAACTTTGTCAACAAGTGTTAAAATCCATCCTCAACGTCATGAACATTGTGTCTACAAGAACTAAACATTAAACCAGTCAGATATAAAGAATCTGAAATTTTTACCAAAAATAAAAAAACAATAAGACAATTATTATGTTTGCTGTAACTACCTTCAATTAAAAATGGGGGGGTGGCACAGCTCACAACTTTATCAACAATAATGACGTATAAATTTATTTATTTATCATTGAAACCAACTACGTGTTCATTGTAAATCGAAATTATAACGAAATTTGTCCAGAGTTCCAATGACCCTATTATGCAATATCTCAAAAGCTTAATCTTAGCCAGTTAAATATGATAGATAAAACTTTATGTTCGACTAATTAAAGGTTAACGTTAATATGTTAGAAACTAGATTTTAAGTTTATTAAAAGTTATTGGCGGTAACCACATATATCCTGAGAGAATTGAAACAAAAATATTACCAATGAGACTGAGAGAATCACTAAGCATAAAAATAAAATGATCCACAATGATCAGCTAAAGTGACTAACTGATGAAGTTCCAAACTTACTCAGTAAAGAGTTAGAAAACGTAATTCTGGTAACTATTGGAAGTCAGTAATTGAATAACAGTTATTTACATGAAAGCTATTTATATTTATGCATACGAATCTGTGCAGTTCGATTTTAATTTTATTTCTAATTTGAGCAAACAACAAGTTCTTATTGTTTACCAGAAATTCAAATATTGAACTTGGGGGAAGAATTCTAAAATCTTCATTTTAAAATATCAGATATCAGTTAGACTGTAAAGAAATTAACACTAGAATGTGTTTTACACTAAATATGACGACCGTTTGTTTTGTTTTAGTGATAAAATTTCCCTATAAATATAATAACCGAGAAAAAAACTGTTCACGTTCAGAGGAACATTTAAATACATAGAAACATAAAGTGAAAACTGAATCCGTAATCATTGATAAAAGTTAACTTAATTGATAACCATGAAAAATATCGATTGTTATGCATGCAATAAATATATTGGGGTCATAAAAATAACCCATGAAAAAAATCACGTAGTGCATAAAAATATGGTAAATCTATACATTAAACGGTAAGATTAAACCACACCATCAAACTATTCAAATATGTGATGCTGATGTCTTAGTTTGGTTTCTTTATTTGAAACCCACTCTAAAATATTCACCAATTAATAAGTGGTCTCCAATAATATACCTTTATATATATACAGAGACTTTCAAGAGTTTTCTTAGCCCTGAAATAAATTGTACTTGGAGGGCAAATCCATCTAGATCAATTAATTTTTATTGATTAATCATTTACCAAATGTAAACGTTATGTGAATTGATTTTTTTTTACAAACCAAAAAATTAACTGAACAGATTTTTTATGTTACGATTGAAAGGCCAATTTTGAACTTTAACATTTAGATACCATGTAAAAACAATGTAAACAATGAATAAAGATTAACAGCTTTTTACTTAAAGATTATAAATTTTAATCTAATATAAGGAAATCAAGATCATTATGAATTTCTGTGTACCTCACCAGTATAACATAGTTACATCTGTAAAAAAATATCTCTGTTTTATTTTTAAATAAGGATATCGAAGTTACGGTCCTAAAAGGTTTAGAGATTCTACTATTTTGTGACTGGACTCTTCACTGAGATTTTCAATCAATTCGAATAAACTATAATAGGGTTTAATTATTAATAATAAATTTATTGGCTGATGTTAGAAACTATCACCACTGGATGCTGGCTCAGTGGTCCAGTTGGTTAAGCGTTCGCGCGCGAGACCGAAGTCCCTGGGTTCGAGTCCCGCGAGCGGGATCGTGGATGTGCACTGATAGGGAGTCCCACAATAGGATGAAACGGCCGTCCAGTGCTTCCAGGTTTCCAATTTTGATGGTCTAATATCAATCGGTTCATGATCTCAATCAAAAAAGTAAATTTATACCTAACAACAGGATGATATGAACTTACCAAACATTGATAATGAACATTAAAAACCATCGTGTTGTTATATTAAGATTCATTCCAGTTTGGAACAAAGTAACAAAACGAAATAAATACCAAAAAAAAGAAGGAAAGGACAAAATTAAAAATAAACTTACCTAATTATTATGTAATATAAATGATTGAATAATCAATTGTAAAGTAATCAAGTTTTATAACATTGTCATAATCGTTTTATTTGTTATATATTTAACAACAAGAGAAGTTAAAAGAAAATAATCATAATAAATTATAAGATTTATAAGTCCCAAGCATATTTAATATAACAATTTCATTATGACATAATCAAATCCAAGTGTTACGATTGATGATTTATTACATAATATTATTAATAAAGTGTAATATATATATATATATATATATATATATATATATATATATATGGATTGAGAAATGTTTTAACCAATCAAAGTAAAGCACCAATCAAATTCATCCAATGCTTATTAATCATCATATCATAATCATTTGTGTTTATTAACAGGAAGAAAAAAAATGTACTTGCATTCTTCAGAATAGTACTATTCAATCAATATCGAATAATAATAATAACACATTTAAAGTGTTTTCCATTCATAACACAATGTTATTTATTTGAGCTTAGTGATTATCTACAACGACTTAAAAGTATAGTCAATAAATTTATGTATCTATTAGTAATATGATAGAGAACAATTTATTCTTGTGTAGAAATCACAATTCCTTTGTGTTTATATGCCAAGAAAAAAAAATCTTTGATGACTAGAAGATTTTTTGTTTGCTTGTTGAGAAAATCACTTTATTATGATACAAAGTATGAATTGATATCGCCTGACTAGTTACACGTATCAAAAGGTCTAGATTGGAATATTGATTATTGATAGTTGTCCTAGTAAGTAACATTAAATTTTCTTAAAACATGTAAATAGTTGGGTTTTTTATTGGAACGAATAAAGATAAACACTTAAACAATGTAAATGTCATAACTAAAAGGAATTCAGTAAAACAAAATTTTCAAATATGACTAGATTAATCAGTATCTTTGTTAGTATATTGACTTTTTGACTAGTATTCTTGAAGACGTTCACGTTGTAGCGTATTAATCAACGGAAATTCAAGAAAATTCAGCAGACGAACCACTAATACAATGAAATATAAATTGTCAACTATAGTGTAGACCACTTTTCAGAATATCAGCGACAATAAAACGTTATGTATCCTACCTATGCAAAATATTTCTGATAAGTTTAGATTTGAGTGAAACAAGAACGCTAAGTATATTCCGTATATAAAACTTCTCATAACATTCAGAATATATCACCCTGAACTTTGAAATAACAACTGAAGACTGTATTTTGTTCCTTTATACAATAATAAGCTATCAATACTAAAAACATGAAGTTAAAATGGTAATAATTGTGTGATTAATTTACTATGCTGTTATGTTTTGATGTTCGATATAGTCATAATATATAATTCATACAGAAGCCCTAATCCACGATCCGAAATGAGAAGACTCAAATGAGTAGGAAGGCGTAATCTCCAGTTCCGAATAAAGCGTACACAAAAATTTGATATACATACGTCTGTCCTTAAGATCAGGATGAGAACATATAGGCTAAAGCCTTAACAATGCGTATTGTCTGTTTGATACCATAGCGTGCCTTATTAATCACCTCATATGTAGCGTTTGTTATCAAGGTAGTATACAGGGACCGACACATGTCTCTATCCACTCAGGTTATCAGAAGTAAATGATTTCTATCCTCAGTAGAGCTTCGGTATCATAAAATCCAAACAGAACTATAAATTCATTCCATTTTAGAAAGAGGCTTCTTAGAATTGGCATGCATTTTCGCTTTAATCGATTTTGAGAGGCACAATGAAGAATGAATTGGAAAAAAATTTGTCTGGAGATACTCCAAATAGACTTTAGAATAAATATTGAACCATAAGCCGATTCGTTTTCATTTAAGTAGTTAAATATATGTGATCTACAGGAGACAATCAATCACAACTAGTAGAACAGGGAAAAACAGATTGACAATCTTCATGTATGAGTACAAGGCTGCTACAATACAAATTCCGACAAATTCGTTACAAGCCTCTTCGGGAAACAATAATGACAGAGAGGAAGTAGTACTCTGGGTCAATGACGAATGAAAGATTCTGACAGGGACACGGTCAAGGCTTTGCTTCAATTTCTTGGGAAATAGGTATACGCTATGTAGCCTAACATTTAAAGGACACGTTTCTACATTACTGAATGAGATGTACCTATATTTTCTATTCGATTAGCCAATAAAAAACTTCCTGGTCAGTGTAGTGTTTGAATGAACTAATGATTCCTTTGCATTTGTTGAATGATTGATTTCGAATTCCAAATACAGTACATTCGTTTGTGCTTATCTAGTACTTCTTGATCCCATTACGTTATTTCTGGGATTCTCAGTTCGTACTACAATTCAAATACTCCTAATTATTATAATCAGTCTTGATTTGCTTACTCAAGGAACTGCTTTTGACCTTGAATTACCAACGAACATAACAGGAAGTTACAAATAGAATCCAAAACTTTGTTGAGTATATAATTAATTGTTCACAAAGCCAAATTATGTTCATCTTATAAGTAAATCGCCTAATAGATGACCTTGGTAAAATGACGCTCAATCACGTCCTTCTTACTTGTTTTTTTTTTCGATGTTCTCTTTCAACAAACTAATTCACAGGGAAAACTGATACATTTTCCTCACTAGAACAATTATGTACCCAATAATGATTACCAGTAATCTAGCATATGGTAGTTTTCGATCAAATGATACATCACAGTACGTATAGGGATTAATCAATATAAGTGGACTGATTTTGTAAATATTCAAATTAAACTATTTGATTACGTTTAATTAACTCTTATCATGTTAATTCACCAGTCAATTGTTGTTTATTTTACAACAGCTGATTGAGCAGTAGATGTTATGTAAATAATGTTTTGTAATAATATATACAAATGGATTTTACATTTAAATGAATTAAAATATGAAAAAAGTTATTTGTAGTTTATGATTAGGATTCTTACTTAAAACGATAAGAATAACATTTAGATAAGTAACAAGAAGTATGATAACTGATTGGATTATTGATAAAAACCAAAGCATCTCAATTAACAATATTATGTCACTACATAGGGATACTACCCCTAACTCAGGGTTCGAAAAGTCGAAAAAATGAAAATTTCGCAAATGCGATAAAAATGATCTTGATGGTCTAGTTATAGTATTTCGACATCAGACAATGGGTTTTAAGCGTTATTTAAGCCCTAACGCTTCAGGCTGGGCTATTTCGCTTACTACCCTATACTTGTGTTGTATGCAGTAGAAGCTATATGGTTATGTAGAGCTGAAGGTCTCATATGAGGCTGGAGGTTCGCCATTGTTATTGTGGACAATTCGGCATTGCTTTGGCAAGTTTTGCTGACTGTTCATGCAAAAATTGGTTTGCTGGTTAACTGATTTCATTCATACTGGTGGTTGCTGTTCAGTGTTCCCGAGGGCCATTGTCATTGGGACATTGTTAGGCATGCCACCATTGCTAACATTAATGAATTTGACTGTCGTGTAAGCGGAATAGGTCAACTTTGGCCTGTTCGTGCTGTGCATAATTGATTCACGCGATCATTGATCGGAATAACTATACATGTGATGTTAATGTGTATATGAATGGTGCGAATGGTCCACCAAGGTTCTTGGTACCTGTGTGGTTGCGCCACAGGATTGAGCTGTACTATTCAGATTGTAGCGTTAAAGCCTGTACGGTGTCTGGTTCCCCTGCTAAACGGGGTTGAGCTGTACTGTTTGGGTTTTTACGTGAAGGTCCGGATGGTGTCTGGTTCTCCTGAAAACCAATGTAAAATTACCCTGGCCCACAAGGGTATATTATATTACTGTGTATTATATTACTATTTCACTACATAAGATTTAAAAACACTGAAATGTTCTATTTCTTCATGTTGAATAATTGTATTCACAATATTTTTGTAAATAAAAAAATAGGAAGGATGTTTTTATTGAATAAAAAAACTATATGTTATTGAACTATATTTGTATGTATTGACCAACGGACAGGAACTAAATCATATAATTATACAGTCTGATTTATTCAACGTTTAGAAAATTTATTCCCAAGAGAATGAATAATATAGGAAAGATATACTTATTGATTAATGAAAATGTTTAGTGAAAGGTTTGCAATGAAGAAATATTACGACTATTACAAGTGAAAAGTCAAGATGCTAGATAAGATTGGATCAACACTAGACAAGCATAACACTGTCTGGTACTTAGTAACCAGTCCATTTTATAAAAACGAATTAGATGGCTTGTGATTCATAGTGTAGTAATCCATAAGTTTCAGTTATCAATAAGAAATTAAGAATATGATTTATTGGTGCACATTAATTGTTCAACATATTCTGTCATAGATCTTCCACTAAATAACCCTAAGTATATGAATGACTTTAACCAATTAGCGTTCAGTCTGAATTAAAATTTCCTTTGTCCCTTCCTCCAGTTAAATTACTATTGTATTATTCTCCACTTATTATGGGCATATTTGAACTAGTACACTTGAAAATCTGTTGGATATTTGATTTCATACTTATGTATACACCAAACATGAATCAGATTGTTGATAAGGTTTTTGTTTATCAAACTGTATATATATCCACATTGATACAATACTGTTTACTTGTTGACTAACGTATGTAGGCAGGTAGTTTACTAATCAGATAATCGTATCATGTTACACCACTTTACTATATTTAACTAATACCAAATGTATTGTCCAACACTGTGATTTAGTAGGCAAAATGTTATTTGGTCATACATCTATGGTTACATCAAAGTACCAAGTTAAGGAAATTTATCAATAATGTATAATTTAGTAAGATACTCATGATTCTTCTCCAATATTGATGTAATCCACTATAGATTCAATGGTATTTTTCGTCTGATAATTTTTCACATAAATTGATATCGTTCACAGAAAACTATGGAAAACAGGAAGTGGCATACTGTTCCATCCTGGACACAGACCACCTAAGCATGTTCACTTATCTTTCCGAGATAAGGCATAAAAGTTTTTTGACACTAAAAGTAGTCGTCAACCATTGAGATGGAAACCACTGAACTCAATGTTCAAATTTAGTCAGTCTGTGATATACTGTAATCTTTAACCAATATACTTATTAAGTTAGTGTTTACTGTATACTTAGACAACTCCATGAATCATTATGTTCCACGAGAATTTCTGGAAATGTATCCCGAAATTATCTAATAAAGCCCAGATGATTGTTATTTATCCAGATGA